AAAAAAAAAAAAAAAAAAAAAAAAAAAAAAAAAAAAAAAAGCTCATGTGAGCCCTTCAGATGAGCAGATTCTCCCTCAAAACACATATGTCCATAAAAGGTAAGAAGTGAGAAAAGGAGTAGGACATGTTTCTATTCTCTTTTCTCCCCAGCTTGTGTACCTCACCATGTATGCAAATATCAAACCAGACTTTGTGAACATTTTATTTTTTTGAACATTATTTTCTGAGCCGTCAATTGATTGTATTTTTCCAAATCCCATATTGGAACCCATGCTCAGACAAATGCAAGTGTACTCCTGGGGAGAACCAAGTCAAATATGCAAATTCACCGCTACCCTGAATGATCCAGAATGTGTTTCTGTACTTGTACTTCATGTTCTCATAGAAGTTGAAACATTGGATTCCCTTCATCTATCTATGTCTGAGAAGCTTCATCAGTAAAATGTGGGGGTGGATTAGATAAATCTCTGAAGCCTCTTCTAGTCATAAAAATGAATGAGCATTTTATTCTAACGTTCACTAGTGGCAGAGACAAATGACAGGGTATCAAACTAGAGACCATCCACAGTGATCAGAGATCCACATGAGGAAGGAGACCCTTAATCCTCTTAGGCTTCTAGGAGCCCTCCCCCCAGACTTCCACATTGCATTTCAACAGGTGAAGTAAAGGCTGGCAGACCTGGGCGCCACCCTTTACTGCACTCCTGTAGATGCAGGCACGGTATGGAGGAATCTTTCCGGAAGGCATAGTTTTTACTTAAACACAATCAAACCCCCACCTAAGTCACGTGCCCCATGCCTGCTTCATGGATCAAGACCTTTCACTTGTAATTTCTAGAATTGTAAGCCCAGGACCCTTTCATATGTAATTTCTAGAGTTGTGACCCTTTTATTTATTTATTTTTTTTTTTGAGATAGAGTCTTGCTATGTCGCCAGGCTGGAGTACAGTGGTGCGATCTCAGCTTACTGCAACCTCTGCCTCCCGGGTTCAAGCAATTCTTCCGCCTCAGCCTCCGGAGTAGCTGGGACCACAGGTGCGTGCCACCATGCCAGGCTAATTTTTGTATTTTTAGTAGAGACGCAGTTTCACCATGTTGGCAAGGATGGTCTCAATCTCTTGACCTCGTGATCCGCCCACATCAGCCTCCCAAAGTGCTGGGATTACAGGCGTGAGCCACTGCGCCTGGCCCAGCTGTGACCCTTTAAAAGGGTAAGGATTTTCTTTGTTGGGGAGCTTGGTTGTTAGGCATCTATGCCACCGCAGCTCTCGGCTGAATAAATCACCACCCAGTGACCAAATAAATCACCACTTCCTTCCTAGTTCCATGTTCGAGAGGTTTGTCTGTGGTCTTTCCTACTTCACACAGTCTGATTGTTTCCTGGTTGGAGACAGAGCTCTGCTCACCCTTGTCTTGGGAGTGCCCAGCAAATCCTGTGGGTGAAGCTTCTCAGAGTGCCTTCTGCCTGGCCCATAGCAAACATTTTCCACTTTTGACCTTGGGGGCTAGCTACACCACTGCCATCTTTACTTTTCTACTCAGCCGAGCTTGTGAATTACTAAATGTCTTTCCTGGTGCTTTTCCTGGTTGGAAGTAAGTCTGTGGATCGAGAAATTGTTTTTTGAATGTGGTCTTTGGTTCTATGACAGCCCTTCCCTCCTCTGCCCTTCCTCTTGGCAGTCACGGCAGCCGTGACAGAACTGAACACAGTTTTTTTCTGTGGAACAGACTTCTGAGTGTTTTGGCAAGTCTGCTCTTCCATAAGAATCCTCCCTACAGGACGATAGAAGATGTTCCTTCTTTGCTTTTAACTAGATTGTTCTTTGCCCAGTCCCGGGGGATGGCACCGCCTGTGCTCTGACTGTTCACAGTGTAATCCAGAATTGCATTGCGCTTCACTCCTTTCACTTTTCCTGGATGCCTACTCGTCTATTTTTGTGTTTTTCTATGTTTTTGGGTTTAGTTTTGTTTTGCCTGAGAAAATTAGAAATTGTTGAGAGGAAATGTGAAATGAATCCAGTTTGAATCATAATCAATGCTCAATGACAGTCGACCAGTCCACCCTGGCAAGTGTAGGTGCGCCTTTCCAGGTAGCTCATTGAAAGGTGCACTTCTTTATAGCAGGCCCGTGGACTTGATTGGCATGCGTGTGACACTTCATGCACTCATGGGTTTGTGCTAGACTTTATTGGGTTCCATAGTCCTCTAGGGTCTGAACTTTAAAAGAATGTGTGAGTTGGCCAGATGTGATGGTTCATGCCTGTAATCTTGGCACTTAGGGAGGCTCAGCAGGGTGGATCACGAGGTCAGCAAATTGAGACCATTCTGGCCAACATGGTGAAACCCCGTCTCTACTAAAAATACAAAAATTATCTGGGTGTGGTGGCGCATGCCTGTGGTCCCAGCTGCTGGGTAGGCTGAGGCAGGAGAATTGCTTGAACCTGGGAGGTGGAGGTTGCAGTGAGCCGAGATTGTGCCACTGCCCTCCA